GGACGCCTACCTGACTTCAATCTACTACAATACCAATGGCATTGTTTTGCTACTTACAGATGTAGCTCTTCTTTCCAGTTCACAGCTTATGGGTTTCCTAGCCTAAGATTTGTAATGCCTGAAAGCACAATAGTAATAATGCAATTATTATTACAATTATTGATACAATTTCTAGTCCAACACTATATAAGCTACTTGAACCTTTCTGTACAGCATTTTGTAAAAGCCTAAGCAGTCCTGGATCAAGAAGGCCTTTCGTATACAAGTATTGGGGAGTGGGGGGGACATGTGTATGGCAAGTTCTCTTTTTCTCCTGCTTGCCCCTTTCATTTTTTAATAATAGCAAGACCAGAAAAAATATCAAGCTACCAACTGCACTTGACAACAACTAGATTTGTTTGTGGGTCAGATATACTGTGAGTCTCTCTCTAAGGACTGAATTAAAGATAGCTCTGCCCACTGACCAATTCAGAGGAACTGGGTGTTAGGTACCCCTTGCCGTTCTGCTGGATCGAGTGGTTTATGTGACATGTTGGAGAAAAGGAGCAGCATGAGGTTCTAGATCAGAAACTTGGCACTCTGCAGGGTTTTCATTCTAATCATATGGAAGGATTTGCAAACCCACACACATCCTCTCCTTCAGCAGGCCACAGCTGATGTTAGAAGGCCACTTGCACAAGCTATTTGTGTGAGTATCTGCAGTTCAGGGCAGTCCAAGCAGAGTGACAGAAAGAGAAAAATGCAAATGGATGGGATCTGACTGGTCAATCTTCAGCCAGCAGCAAGAATCCCACTTGAGGCACCTTGGTAAATAAAATACACACATTTCATTCTCCTACAATGGATGGCCTGGCAAACGGCTGGAACACAGCAACAGATCATTCTGTTACTCTTCTTCCTTCATGGATGGAATCTACCTAATACAACAGTTTTCCCAGAACGCTTTAGAAAGATTCAAGCGGATCTCTTTCTGACTATATCTACTGTACACAGTTATCAGCAAGTTGATGTCACTTTAAGTGCCACAGTTCCATCCTATGGGATCCTGGCATCTGTAATTTGGTGATGTCCCTAGAATAGTTGGCTGTAGCTCAGGGAAGGCACTAGAGCTCTCTGGCAGAGAATTCTAAGACCCTCACCCAACTACAAACCCCAGGATTCTGTAGAGCCACTGTAGTTAAAATGGTATTAACTGCATTAGCTGTGTAGCATAAGACACACTAGACTGAAATCTTGTTGTGCAGTTAAGCAAACAGCATAACGTTTGGAAATGAGTTGCTGTAATCTCCGTAGACACTATCTGTTGCATAAGGAGGTTGTGACTCAGTGTCCAACAGGTAATGCCTACAGAAATGTCTTAACTTACAGCTGTTTTCATTTTTTTTAAATTAAAAATAGCAAAAAGGGTTATACTGTTTGTGGAACTGCACAACAGGATTTCAGCATCCATGTCTTAGTTAAAATGTGTATGTCTTTGGCTGTAGTTCCATCTGAATTTTTTTTTCTTGTCCTGCACACATTGGACATGGAGGTGGATTCTATGTTGCCTAAACGAAGCAGCCCTTCGTTAGCTTGAATTACAGTGCAGTCTTGTTCATTGCTTAGAAGTGTTGGTTTTCTCTCAGTTAAAGCAGGTATAGGATTGCAGTCTCATGGTATTACCTTAACTCTTAGCCTTCACTTCCTGAAGCTAAACCTAACCCAGTTCCTTCAGTCTTTTATTCATGAGCAAATCTCAAACTTTTCCAGCAAGTTCACCCACCAAATGGGGCTAGTTTGGCTGTTGCTTTTATTCCCTTTCCTAAAATGACACTGATCTTTTGTATTATATGGCACATAATGTTCTGTTCACAATCTCTGAACAAGGTTTCCAGTGATTGCTGGTCCAAGTCCACAATTTGGAATTCATGCTTATTTGAGGAACCAGCAGTCCAAGGACAAACATGTAGCTTTTGGGAACTTAAAAGCTGTGCTGATAAGCATGCAAACCAGGAACCCTCTAGGGCAGGCAGTCTTTCAAATGGCAGCGCTAAGACAACAAGGCAGAAGCACTCAAAACAACAGAGAAGTCAATTGGCCACTGGCAATAACTTCCCAAATTTCTGTGCAACATCACCAAATCATCAGTCATAAACAAAGACAAAAGCATTGGCACATGGCTCATAATGGCCCATTTCAATACGAACCCTTATAAGGTTCTCAGTTGTGGAACTCAAGCAGGCATCATCATCCCCCTTGTAATAAAGGGGATGTACCTTAACTCAGCCTTTCCTAACCCAGTGCTTTCCAGATCTGTTGAGTGCCACTCCCCTCACTCCCATGGCCATGCTGTGTGGAGATGATGAAATTTATAGTCCAGGACACTGGGGTGGGTGACAAGTCAAGGAAGGCAGCTCTGACCTCAGCCACCCTCCAACACCTTCTTATCCACATGATCTTCAGTGCTTCCAGTACTGCAACATTCCTGACCTCTCTTCAAAACTGTTCCACTGTCCTCCAACTCAGACGTCTTGTGTTTAACATGACATTCTTCCTTCCCTTTATTCCCATTTCTTTACCTCTGGCTTCCAACTGAAACCAGCAGTTTCTCCCCCTTCTCTCTCAACGTTCAACATCTTTTCCTTCTCAAATCTCAACATGCCCAGTTCCTTCAGCTTTTGAGCCATGAAAGACACACGGTAAAACAAGCGTAAAATATTCCAGTTTAGTCTGCCTTCAGCCCTAAACCTCGGTCAACGAAATCAGAAATCCTGCCTATGAAATCATGGGACCTATTAGGAATGGGCTTCCCCACAGGCCTCTCAAAGAGAAGCTTCCCTGTAGCGGGAAGTGAAAAACAGAACTCAACATATTACCTCATTTAGCCTTGAATGTTGCTCCAGGGAGAAGGTGAGTGTTCAAAAGCCAAGGTAAAATGTGACACTTTACAACACAAACACTAGTTTCTTAGTTTACAGAATAAAACAGATAATGTTGAATAAGAAGCCTAAATCCGATTGCTAGTCCCTACTAGATTGAATCAAGACTTACCCATCAGCTCAAGATTCAACAAATCTACTCTAGACTAGCGACTGGATAGAGGTCAGGGAATTTTAGTTTATTTCAAAGGGCTTTATACAGAGAAGAGAAGGAAGACGGTTAGTAGATGGCTAGTGATTTTGTGTATCTCTCAAATGTGCGCTCAGTTGTTGGGTGGGGGATGTTGGAGAGATGACGAAAAAGAAGAAAGTGAGATGAATGATTAAATGTTAGGTCTCCTGAAATACAAGTGTTAGAAGTTTAAATAGTGATGCAATTACAAAGCAATAGCTGGCATTACCAAGTGCAATTTTGGGGTATTCACGCTTCCTATTTCACTTCTCTTGGAACTACAGTAAATGCACATCTAATAGAACCACTGCTATTTTTAATTTGTTGCTAATACCACAGTTACATCTTTCGATCTTGTGATTTTAATTTCATGTTCTATCCTGGCATGGCTTTACTAATACACTCTTTAATGGTGTCAGAAATTCCATCTTTTTTGGCCAGCTTGCCCATGTATTCTCTCCATGCATGACTGGAAATAGATTTCTTTTTAGCAACGTCTGCAACAAAATATTGCAGTATGGAGTGGGTCTGTTCTGAATTCCTTGGGTTAAGCCTTTCCCAGAATACTCTACTTCATTCTAGTCTTTTCTCCCTAGGTTTGTGTGTGTGTGTGTAGGAACTATTAAAGAAGACAACCTTCATAATATCAGTGCAGAGTAATCTTCGTAAATTTAAGTGGTTAGCCCATGAGGGGGAGGGAATCTCACATCATCTCTCTTTTGCTTTTTGCAGTGGATATTCTGCTTTGCCCATTCACCTTAAGCATATCCTGGTTGCCCTGAATGTTGATGTATTCAATCTTTTGTCCTTAATTCCAATTTTGAATTGTGTTTCCAGAGAAGACAATTGGTGGGTGTATTTTCTGGCTTGATACCAAAGATGTTTTAAGAGTGTCAAATTAAGAGGCACGGGATTTCTACAAATACACCCAGAATTAAGTTTTGGCTCCAATCAGGTCAAAGACTTTCAAATGTTTAGAATAGGAGGGGAATGTACAAAAACAAGTAGACCGATCAAACAATGGCATCATGTGAAACAGGGTGTAGCTATCTGAGGAACCTAGAAGGGCTGGATTGGGAACCCTGGGGCTTAAGGCTCCCCACCTCTGGTTTAAGGCAGTCCCATCGTTCAACTCCTTGAGGCCTGACAATTAGTGCAAAATCCTGTTAGATGTTGAAACTTTCTTTAGAAACAATCTACAAATATGTATTTTTTTAAAGCCTCTACCTTGGGGGTTAGGAATAAACATAAAGACTTAAAATGTTTCCAGTCAACACCACAGACCTATGGAACACATACCTTGCTTATGGACAGATGATTAATCCCCCCCCCCAAATATATATAACTTTGTCCCATCTGCCATATACTTAGAAATGACAAGAATCAAAAGCAGAAATGTTCTGCAATATACTTTTACTGGAGTAGTCAATGTATCCCAGTGGCATAGCAGAGGTCAAAAAGACCTGGGAGCAGTAAGAGCAGGGGAGGGCCAATTCTGAATTAATTTAAAAACAATAACCCATCAATAAACTAAAATTCCACGAGCTAACCTTGCATAAAAATTCACAGAATGAAAGATTTTTGAGCTGGAGAATTTAGGTAGCAGAACTGATTTAACAATTCTTTCAAAGAGAAATCTGCTCCTAATTACTCCCATTTGCCCCAAATGCCAGGGTTTCTAGTTAGGATTCTGCTAGCAATCCCAAACTTGCTTCATTTCTGCATTTCAAATCTGGGGCAGGAAGGGATTCTGTTTTGTTCTCACTGTTGTCAAATAACTGGGGGGCAGGCTGGCAGTGTTAAAAATCTCTGGTAATCTATAGCAAATCTACCAGAAAATCCAGACTCACTTTGGGCAAACCCCTGAATGTTGTGTTAGTGCTTAAAATAAAGCATCCAACTGATTGGTATTAAGAGATTCAATCTTCCAATTTATTTTTGGTAACAACAGATCCTAGCTTTACAATTAATCACACACATAATGCATGTGCATGTTTAAAAAAACAAGATATGCTTTAACTTGGAACTACAGGATTCTGATCAATTAAGGAGTGGAAAATACAACAAGTAGTAACAGAAACAGGCATCCTTGAAGTCTTACAGCTGTTTCACACATTGTGCAATTTTCTGCGTGTGAACCAGTTTGTTTAGCAGGAAATGGCACAAAATCTTCCTGTAGAACAGCATACAAGACAACAAAGTCTCTACCCCTTAGTAGACAGATCTTTGTGCCTGGCTGTTGCATGCAACCGTACATGCACAACTTTCATGCCCTTTCCTTCACAGAAGCCCAAGGCATGAAGAAAATGAATAATGTAAAACAGCTTTTAGAAGGCATCGTTTAACTCAAGAGGCAAAACTGGTTCCCACTGTGGTTTATGCACAACCCTGGCAACCTTTCTACAGCCCACGTGTGTGTAAATGAGGAAAGAACTCTTCAGGGGAACTTTGGAAAACTGTCCTGGAAATTTGGGGAGCAGTGGGTCAAAAAGAAAAGAAAGAAAGAAACTTCTCCCAGCTGTGTCCACAACTACAGATGTCTGTGTGGCTTAATAGAGGTGCTCCCTCCTGATTCTTCCAGAGCAATCACTCACCAACTTATTGTGCAACCATCTCTATGCTCTGCTTTTGTGACAGACCAAAACAAACCCCAACCAACCTATCAACCAAAACTGAGCTTAAGAGTGAGAGCAGCTTTCTTTCTTTCTTTCTTTCTTTCTTAAAGGTATCAGGGGGCAGTTTAAAAATATGCAAAAGACTGTCTTCCTTCACGAAATCTCTGAAGCGCTTCAGTGCTGCCACTGTCAACCAACAGTAGGGCTCCTGCCTTTTCCTAAAACAGACTGTGCCCACCTAGCGCTTTGGCCCTACAATGCATAAAGCTTTTCTGGGCACCAAGAGGCAAAGAATCTCTAAACAAATGAACACATCTTAACCTTTTCATTTCTGCTTGTCAAGGCGACACCTATGCAGGATGTAGAGCCCTTAAAGCCCTTCACGCAGAGGACTACGGTCAGGGATTTCCATATATCCAAGTCAAGATGTACTTCATGTTTGGTACAGATGAACGGGAATTTCTCTAGCACTAGCACTCCTCAATCTGGTACCTTCTGGATGTGTCAACTCCCAGAATCACACAATCAGCAGAAGTACTAGGTTGAGGAAGGCATACCTCCTCTATGGCTGGCAAGAGACATAAAGGTAAATATGTCATAAATGCCTTCGCAACACTGGAACCAGAAGAAAGTTAGCAAATGGAGTTATGCAATACTACCAACGGCCATCCATCTTAAAAGAGTTCACAGCAACGTACATTCAGTTTTTCTTTTTGTTCAAAAGAGGCTTTAACAAACCAACAAAAACAATTGTGTAGAATACTCTTTCCCCTTTTGTATCCTGAACAAAATTCTTCTTGAAGGAGCAAGAGAAGCACTGACCATCTGGGCGCTTCAATAGCACCATAACAGCAAAAGCCTAAGAAAAACAACAAAGTCAGCACCAGTGAAGGAAAACTGGGCATGCTGGGAAGATGAGGGAAGAACTGCTGCTAAGACATGAAACTCAGCATCATTTGTGGGGGAGGGAATGAATTGGCACTAGATATGTTCCCATTGTCTTTTATCCTTGCATCTAGAGGTAGTGTCATTTTTTTGTCCAGTATCTAAAACAGTGCAAATCCAGTTACATCATTATTTCAATACGACCCTGTAACAGTCTTTCTTTCCCCTCCCCCCACCTCCAAGTGGTGAAAGTGCATGAAAAATTCACCAAGCCAAATTATATGATTCACAGATAAAAGTGTACCAAACCTCATATAAACACGGTCTGTGTGTCTACATACACCCCCCCCATATATATATTTATAGGTTCATTTACAGTAGCAGAGGAGTACGTGGATCAAATGATGTCTTCTACAGCAAAAGTCTCTGTTTTCCCTTCCAAACCCAGACTTTCAGTTTTTGATCTCCAAGATGGATGGGTTGTGGTCTAGAATGGCTAGGATGATCTTGTCCATGTACTGGCGCAATCTGAAATTGATCTCTTCCTGTTCTTTAAGAGCTTCCATAAGCTGGAACAAGAAAGAAGAGGACTCAGAGGTAAAACCACTTCAAACGAGTCTAATGCCCCTTGACTTTCAGCTTGTTCTCATAATGAGGAATTGATGATGGAGGAAGAGACAGGAGAGGAGAGGTCTCCCTATGCCTGCCTATTGCTGCAGCCATTTCGTCAGGCAGAGCAATCAAGCAATCAGACTCACTCTTCCAAAAAGAGCTCTGCCTCTCAAGTTTCCTCATAGACAGTCCATTAATGTTGCTCTGTATCAGACTCAGCAGGACCCACTAGAATCAAGCCAGTCTTTGGTGGTGCAGCCCAGCTCTGAGTCCCTCTGTGCATGTTCTCTCTCTCTCTCCCTCTCTCTCTCACACACACACACACACACGTACATGGAAGAGCTTAGTGTCTCTTAAGGCTAGGTTCCCAGATATTGTGGGTCCTGAATTCCCAGAAGGCCAGTCATCAGAACTAAAGGTCAAGGATTCTGAGAACTGTAACTTAAGCCATCAATAGGTTTGGGGAATGCAGTGCTCACCTCGCAGCACACACAGCCTTCTCTTTGAGAGAATAACTGGTGGCTCAAGAGAAGCCGTGGTGGTGGTGGTGGTAAAGCTGATGCAGCTACTGCATCCAACGGTCCCCACCCATAGTGACCACTGTAGTCAACACAGTGGTTCACCTGATCTTGAAGAAGCTTTAGAAATGTATTAGTCTCTCATAATTTCAGAGATACCTCTGGGGAAAAGAGAGAGAGATGGGGAGACAGAGGAGGATGTTGCTCTTTCAGTAGGGCTTTTTCAGTTCCCAACCTTGGGTTCCCAGATGTTCATGGACTAAAACTCTCAGAAGCCTTCATCAGTAGCTGTGCTGAGCAAGATTTCTGGGAGTTGTAGTCCATCTGAAGACCCAAGGTTGGGAAGCTCTGCAGTAGAATGATGATAGAGGTTGGACTATCTGTTGCCAGAGGAGCTTGGGAGATTGCTCGTTTTACCATTACAATGTCTGTCTCTCTGCGTAGAGGTTTATCCTCTTCCACAGGAATGACTGTCAAATACTTCCAATATGGTAAGAAGCAAAAGAATGCAACCCCTATATGAATGAATCAACCTTGGGTTTTGCTTCTTGATCATACTGGAGTGTGACAAAGCATTATTAGGAGATTTTTGGCATCTTGTAATACAGCTTAAACATTATTAGATTTTTGGCATCTTGTAATACAGCTTAACAACAACAACAGAGCTACAGAAAACGACAATATTAGGAACAACATACAATCCGTGTCAATATTTAACAGATACTTAATTTTTTGTTAAATCTTGTATCTGATATATACTACCAATCAATCTTTTTATAATTTTGATTGACTGTGTCTGGTATTATTGAATAATAACAATAGTGGTCTGTCAAGTCAACTTTGACTTCTGGCTATTGTTTCCAGGGTTTTCCAGGCAGAGAATACACAGAAGTGGTTCACTATTTCCTTCTGAGGGTGCCCTGGGACTGTGAAGCTTGCCCAAGGCTGTACAAGCTACCTCTCATAGGAGGCACAGTGGGAAATTGAAATCCAAACCTCTGGCTCCACAGATAGATACTTAACTCACTGAGCTATCCAGCCAGCTACAGGAACACATAATTAGGGATAAAAACTCCTGCATGATTGGTAGAGGGCACAGGCATGATCTCCAAATCTCCTAAGATGGGCTTCTTCCCACTCCCCTCACAAAATTTCAGATGTTCTAAATATGTAACAAAATAGTGACTCCAAGTTCATCAGGAACGGAAATCTGATGCTGTAAAAAAGAGCCTAAGACATGTGGCCAGAGTTACACTATGGGGGAGATAAAACCAGATGGCTTGTTATGGTCATTACAAGTCCTTGACTATGGCAATCCCAATAGGTCAAAGATGTAGTCATAGATGAGAGGATGTACATATGAGCCAAGCAGAGCTATTCTATAAAAAATGGATGGGAAAAAGTAGTTTTTTTAAAAAAAAACCTTCATCTTCCAGAATACTCTTGGCAACACGGCCATGCTGGGTAGAGTATTCTCGGAATTGCAGCTTAAAAAAGGAAAGCAAAACAAAAAAAGATTTTTCCATCTCCTATAGTTCTATACACCTAGGGCAAACTTTTCCAGCCTGATATCCCCTCGCGGCTTTGAACTACAGCTCTCAGCATCCATGACCACTGCCTTTGCTTGCTTGGACTGATGGGAGCTGGAATTCAACACTTCCGGAGGATGCCAGGTTAGGGAATGTGGGCCTAGGGCTAAGCCGAACTGGAGACATGGAGGCCTCAGGTGCACATTTGCTGAAGCTTAGCAACTCTGTGCTTTGAGGGGGTAACTAGTCCGGAAAACTAACTTACATGCCCTTCTGAATTCCACTGAAGAAACACAGGGATAGAAAAGTAATACAGTGGCCCAAACCATACTGGGATTTTACTCCGCTGTAATACAAACGGCATAACACTGGGAAGTGAAGCGCCTTGCGTTAGGAAACCACTGTAGACATTACACTGCAAATACCCCTGCACAGGTGGAGATAATGAGGGTCTGGCCCCCTAGGGCTGGACGGTCCACTCACCGATCCACCGCTGCTGTGGGCTCCGCGATCCCATTCTATTACTCTGGAGCTCGCGATGGATTAGCCATTCCTGGCAGGAGGCGGGACGACAAGCCTCCCTTGCCAGGTTGAAGAGTGACTCGCCAACCGCGAGCTCCGGAGTGACAGGACGACTTGCCAACCGCGAGCTCCGGAGTGACAGGACGGGATTGCAGAGCCTGCAGCAGAGGCGGATCGGTGATTGGACCATCTGCCACCATGGGGCTGGACCCTCGTTATCCCCACCTGTGCAGGGGTATTCCTATAGAATAACCTAATCTCTAATGATGAGTCATGAGATTCAATGTGCAACAGATAAGTTCTACATTGATTTTTTTTAAAACTTGAGGTGGTTCTCTTGCCAAAGTTGCCCTGTCTTTATTATTCTTGCCGTCAAGAGTATTGTGAATTCTGTGAGTTAATAAAGATGAGCCCAAAAAATACTGCAGGTTGAAGGAAATATTCTCCTATTTATATATAATTAGAAACTAAGCTACTCATTTGGTATGGAACAGATCCCTCTAACTTGTACTCATACATTTTACCTTTATAGGTGGAAGTCCATAAGCTTTAGCAGTCTCTTGAATCTTCTGCTTTTGTTTCCCGTAACCATGCAAAAGCTCCTCTACCATATTTTCCTAAATATTAAATCATATCCTCACTTGAATAAATGTAACTGAAAAGGATAAATGTGTTTTTGGTTCTTTTGGTTCTTTGTTATTTTTTTTTTAAAAGAAAACTGCTTTGGATTAATTTTTATATCAAATGCTTGAATCATCTGAGAGAGAGAGCCTTACATAAACATCTCTGAATCAGCACAGGGATCCATCAGGAGACCACTGGCCAATTTCTAGCAAACCAGTTAGTGCCTGCTGATTGCTAGTCACCTTGGAAATAATGCAAGATCATGCAGTATTTGTTGGTTCATAATGGATCCTCAGTGTGCACTCTTGCTTTGCAAATGTAATTCATATTGCTAGACCAGGGAATTTGGAATGTAAAGAGAAAGGGGTTGGGGAACAACCCTGTTCACCGTTAGGGAATGATCAACCATCAATGTTGGTTTCCCTTAGTTTCTCAAATTCTAGCTTGTTTCTCCCTGCCACAAATTAATTTTCAATAAGAGCAAAAAAATCTCTGCATGTCTCTTCAAATATATTTACATTACATCTATTTGGTTATATGCAGTTATAGCTGAAGCTATATCCCTATGTACAGTGGTGCCCCGCTTAACGATTACCTCGTTAAACAATGAATCCGCTTGACGATAAGGTTGTTTTAATGGGAAAAATTCGCTTTACGATGATTGGTTCCCTGCTTCAGGAACCGATTTTTCGCTTTACGACAATCAGAAAACAGCTGATCGCCGGGTTTAAAAATGGCCGCCCGCTGTGCAAAATGGCTCCCCTCTGTTTTCAGGACTTAATTTTTGCTGTACAGGCACCGGAAAATGGCCGCCCTATGGAGGATCTTCGCTGGACGATTACGTATTTAGCCCATTGGAACGCATTAACCAGTTTTTTAATGTGTTTCAATGTTTTTTTCCCCTGCTTGACGACGATTTCGCTCTACAGCGATTTCGCTGGAATGGATTAACGTCGTCAAGTGAGGAACCACTGTATACTGTTTTACTTAATACACACATTTTCCCAAAATGCAGTGGGCCCAGTAATATGCCTAAAAAGAAAAGCAAAGGGGGGGAGGAAGCTAATGCCTCCTATCAGGCTACCAAGTTGAGTAGAGCCTTCTCCAAACTGGTATCTGGTGGCCAGAGCATCAGATTGGGGAAAGCTACTCTAGAAAAACAATAAATAGACAACATGTATTTCATTAACACTGAGTTCAAGGTGTAGGCCTCAAAGAAAGAAAGAAAGGAAGGAAGGAAGGAAGGAAGGAAGGAAAGGTCCATGTGCACAGTTTGTCTTATATTCCTTCCAGTTTCACTGAGGTGTCAGGCAGTTTGCCAAAGACAGGACAAAGCAGCAGAAACAAAATTTTCAGAACCCCTGAGTCCAGGGCTGAATACTAGGAAATGCAGAAGTCATAAGAATTTTAGCCACGCCTCATGAGTAGGAGGAGACTCCACACACGCCGACTCTACTAGCTGACTATACCAAAAAGCTGAATAGTAGGAAATGCAGAAGTCGTAAGAATTTTAGCCACGCCTCATGAGTAGGAGGAGACTCCACACACGCCGACTCTACTAGCTGACTATACCAAAAAGCAATGGCAAAACCCTAATCCCCCAACCACCCCAAGCAACCTTGGCAGTGTTTAAACTGGGTTTTAAGACTCCACTAGAACCTATCATGACTTGCCTGATTATGATTTTGGAGCCTAGCCGCAAAGAAACATATTGCCAGTGCGCTCATTTAATTAGCTTCAAACTGACTCTACTAGCAATGGCAAAACCCTAATCCCCCACCCACCCCAAGCAACCTTGGCAGTGTTTAAACTGGGTTTTAAGACTCCACTAGAACCTATCATGACTTGCCTGATTATGATTTTGGAGCCTAGCCGCAAAGAAACATATTGCCAGTGCGCTCATTTAATTAGCTTCAAGAGCCTGCCATTAAGCACTTTACCTCATCTCTGGAGGCAGTATCAATTTCAGCTGCCAAGGACTGGGCTTTTGTCTGGGTTGCAAAAAGGTTCTTGGCTTCATAAAGACTAAGACTAAGGATCTGCCCATTAAGGTCATCATTCTGGTCACGAAGCTTCTGATTTTCCTATCAAGAAAGGAAGAAGGTGAGGAAAGAAGTAAATTTCACAGTACATTCCACAGAATCAATTCAGACAGCATATGATATGAGGTCACCAGGCAACACACTGCCTTTTTCAGGAGGAAGAGCTATACTGGAAGGGCATCATCCAGTGTTCCCTCTTCACTAGAGTTTCTCACCCACTGCTGTTGCTGGGGGAAACTGAACTGCCCATTCCTTCCCAGGTTCAAGAAGGCCTGCTCCTAACCTCGCAGTACTAGTACTGCTGCTACCACCTCTCTTTCGCTCTCCTTAATCATAGCTGATGACCCTGGCTCTTGTCACCTCTGCCATCCTTCTGAATATCCAAAGCAATCATTGCTAGTGGCTGTCTATGCAGGGCGCAGAGAAAATAAAGTAGGACTGGCAGTGGGCTCACCAATTTCATCTCTCTCTTTTTGGCATTATACTAGAGGGAGAAAAAGGGATGGAAATGTCATCCATTTCTGATTCGTTTGGTTTTTCTAATTGGAATCAGTGGAACCAGGATTTTTAATTTTAAGGACAGTGATAGGTTGATCCTGGGAAGTTTCAAAACTACAACAAAGTTGCACAGAGAAGCCTTTTTCCAATTTTGCTTCTTTTTGCAAGCTGTAGTGCGACACTGTATCGAGAATGGAAAGTTATTGGGTTTTTTGGACAGTAACTCCCAGAATCCTTCAGTCTGGCCATGCTAACAGAATGCGCGGAGGGAGGATTCTGAGTACAAAAAAAGTAACTTTTTCAACTTCAGAGACACGCTGTAGAATTATCCTGAAGAGGCCCTGCATTTTAGAGCAGTTCAGGATAGGAGGAGAAATCAGGTACAGTAATGGACAGCGAAGAGATTATCATCACTAAATTTGTGGCAAGCCATGGTGGTAGACTGATGAAGCAGCAGTGCCTTTCCACTTCAGGTCCTGCATGAATTATGCAAAGTACAAGCAGCAAAAATCACAACAGGTCAGCACTTTATAAAGCCAGGGATGTGGGAGAAAACGTGCATGAAGCTTCAAGAACTAATTGACTGATGTGGGGAGAAAGGTTAATATGGAAGCCACCCACCTGCACCGTAGTTTTGATTAGTTCTAGCAAATGCTACAGCCTATCAGGACGCTTACAATTTTAAACTCGTAAAGTTATCCAAGCTGCTATATGGATTCCCATATTGACATATATGACCCTACCCTGTGCACGTCTATTTAGAAGTAAATGTCACTGACCTAAACACTGCTTAGTTGCCTGTTAACAGGCACAGAATTGTAGCTTCACATTCTTTCAGAGTGTGGTATTTAAGCATCAAGCCAGGCTTTATCCTGGGATACCCGTCTCTATTCAATTAACTGGAAATAGAAGCTCTTAACCTGAAGCAGACAAGAGGTGGCCAGGACTGCTACTAAGATCAGTCCGTTCAAAAGCATAAAACAGACATAACCACCTTGCTGGATGGAATGGAAGAAAATATTTTTTCCCCTTTCAATTCCAGTTGTTATTTTAGTCACATCTGCCAGTTTCTGATCACTAACTATTGCTTTGTATGCATCCCTCACATCCACATGCAACAGTCCTAAGCTACATGGCCAGGTTCTCATATAAAATTTGCATGAATGACAAATCCAGCCTGCCACAAGATCCTCTGGAGCTCCATAGTGCCTGGGAGGCAGCAAGACTCAAAAGTAGCAATCCCACATATTGTGCATGAAACGCATTCTGAGCAAGCATGCCCTGATCAACTTAGTTCCTCTTGAGGCCCCAGTGAGATTTCCCTGCTAGCAAACAAGAGGACCAGGCATGTCAACATTCATAGAAATTCCCAGAAACCCCCAGTTGAAAAGTAACTTTTCACAGTTCTCTTACACCCAAATGAGTGCAGCATTTCAAAGACAGGGTTCACACAAGGACACTGTGTGCAGGTCTCTTGGACTCAATGGGACACCATTTCTGAGTCCACCAGAGACTCAGTGATGATCACAAATCACCTGCTCTTCCTCTGCTGGTTATGCAACCCCTGCTCCGGACGGAGGCATGAAGGCTCTTCCCTCTCACCCCGGTTCCCAGTTATACCTCACCTGCTTTAGCCGCTTAATTTCATGCTCCATTTCCACTTCTCTCGCCTTTGCACTGAATTCGCTCAGGCTGGAGGAGGAACTTCTCCCTCGGCCAGGGCGCTCGCACTCGAGCTTATACAGCTGGAGGTGTTCTAGCTCCTTCCGCAGATCCTCAATTAGCTGCCGGGAGAGGAAGACATAAAGGAAGAAGCCATTAACTTCCACATTTAAATCTGGGGCATGAAATCAGCTGGTAATTTGGGTAAGAAAACAGTGTCTGACAGGACTAAGCACCAGGGACTCAGAAAGAACCATGTGAAGATATTTTTGTGTGTGCAGTGCTTTCCAGATCTCCTATTCAAGGAGAAACAAGTCTCCCTTCCTGGCTCTTGTGGAGAAGTCCACGTGGGAGGGTAGAGGGGTGGGTGGGCATAGGTGTGGAAAAGGATTCCGAGGTGTCTGTGTGTTGCTCAGTTCCTTTCTGACTTTCTAGGTGCTTCATGTGAGCTGACAAGATGGCTAAAAACCACCTTGCCCAACCTGAAACCCTCCAGATTGGTCATCATTATTCAGCAACATCTGGAGAGCTGCATGAGGTTCACAGTTGGGTATAAATGTACTTTAAAGCTAGTCTCTGATTTTTGCAAATCATCCACATCCCAAGAAGTCACTGAGGTAAGACTAGCCCTGAGCTGACAGCATCCTTATTTCAGAACCCATCAGTTAATGAAGACAGAAGACACACCTCCTGAGTCGCCTCCCTCTCCTTGTTAAATTCCATTCTGTTCTGCCTCAGTTTGTCCATCATTCTTTTGTACAAGTCCATTTCGTCCTTGAGCCGCAGACTGGTGTCCTCCAATCTGTCCGACATCCGCTGCCTCTCCTGAGGAAAGAGGAAAGGGAGTTCAGAACGACCTGAGACTTACAAGCTGCAACCTCTATGCTCAGAAAAAGCAGGCAGAAAAGGCACTCATTTTTTTTCTGAGCAGAGGAAGGGCACCTGATTGAATGTGGCCCAAGAGGTGTGACCCCCCCCCCACCTCCACCTGGAAGAGGAAGAGTCCCAACAGGGCTGCGCCATGAGATTCTGCCAGATGTCCAGGTAACAGATTCCCCCACTCTCACCTGCTCAGTCAGGAGTGGACATACAGTAGCTTCACTTTTGACTTCTGACTCCCAACAGTTTAACCAAAAATTAACCACTGCTGGAAATAAATAGACGTTGCACTGTGAGGCAGGACAGGCTCAGGATTAGATCAGAGACCCAAAGGAAAACACGTCCTGCCCCATCTTCTCTCCCACGATACTACTTCACACCTAGTTCCAGTTGATGGCTTTTGGTGTTCTAGCCAAAGGCAGACAGTAAATCTCACAGGACACTGGATCCTGCCCATCCCTGCCTGATTTTACACCATCTCCAACTGGAAATGTGATCTTTACCTAGAGCAGTTGCCCAAGAGCCCTTATAATTATGCAGCATCAGGCTGAAAAGCCCATCAAGAAGACGAAACCCTCAAGGTAGCCATGGCTAGATTAGACCTCAGCCGATAGTTCTTCCCAATAAATAACCACCTCTTTTTTGTTTGAATCAGTAATAAAAGAGGTGGTGGCTATAACAACATGGAAGCTGTTTGTGCTACAGAGGTCCAACTCTGTGAAATGGGAGGTTGCTAATATTTAAACAGCTAGGAAACGGATCCAAGGCATTTCATGGAAATCATCCTTTCCTCACATTCCCTGTAACAGAAGCAGCCACACCGGCTGTTCTGCTCCTTGCTGCAGAGCTAAGATACAGCCATCAGCTGTTCTTAGGGGCTATCTAGACTCCAGTATTTGTGAGCCTATTTGCCCAACAGAAAACTGTGGAAAAGATACGCCAACAACGCTTGATGAAACCTCTGTAGTCCTGTGTTCTGCCACTAAGTGATGGTCTGCTGTCCTTGGCTAGGAAGCCCCTGAACCCACACGCTCCCGGGATGCAATGCTTACCAGATGTACCCCATCTTGAATTAAATGGAGGAAAGGCAGGCTATGAATGCAACTAATAAAATACAATAGTTTCATTTATTCTAAACCAAACCACAAGGTCCTCCAATAAGGATGGCTTTCAGTTGGAATTAGTGACTCTAGTGTACCTACTTTTTGTCCCCCATAAGGTTGGGGGTGGGTGGGTTTGAGCACAGAGACTATATATTTTTTTAAAAAAAGCCAAAATCGGCACCAAAGGTTGATAGATGTCCCCATTTTTAAAAAAACTATGATTTTGAGGGTATTAAACACTGCGGTGGGCCCTATGACCCCCTTTAAAGGCAAATGACCATTTTGGAGACTCTGAGGTGCTGCACTTCCCCACTGGTTGCCGGACAAGAATGGACCAGGTGGTCATAAGTACAAGGAGGATTTCTATGACACATCATGTTTTTCCCCCCTGCAGCTTATGTTTGAACTTATAAGTGGGTCTGGACATGTTTATGAGTAATCTGGTGAGAAAGGCTACATTATTCATAAACATGTTTAAACTTGCTTGTGAGTTCAAGTATAAGTTGCAGAGAAAGTGTGAAATGTCATTAAAAAAATCCTCTCCCTAGTCGTAAGTAAAAGCTTGGAGGATGCTTTTGACCCACCTGTGCTTGAAGGGAGGACAATATGTAGGTAGTGGCTAGGTTTTTGTGCCTCTTGTGCCACCTCGCCATTTCTAACATTGTAGAGCAACTGGTTCTAGAGACCCCATGAGAGGCTCTTCTCCAGAAGACCAAATGATGCAGGAAGCAGCACTGGCAACTTCAGCAGAGGAATGACCCCTGCTGTGTCTGAGGTGGGGTGAAGGCCTGAAGTGCTACTCCCAACCCGAGGAAGGTGAGATCATCTGCATCAGGTGAACCTCTGATGTGTACAGCTTGGGAACATAAGAATTTGTCCTTAGGTCAAATTCTGCTCTACTAATTCTGCTCTTCTGGGTAGGTGGGACTTGTTAGCCCTGGAAGGCAGGCCATCTAGGAGAAGGAAAACTCAGATTCCAAACCTCCACTGCCTTGTGGCTATATTCACTCATGGAAAAGGCTTCAGGAGTCAACCTCAAGGCAAAATCTGGAGCCGGAGTCTCGGAGGCAGTTCGTGTCGTTCTGGCAACTCCTGCGACATCGTTGGAACCCGTCGTATTGGCTCTTGCCTTTCCATTGGACTATTTCAGCGACATGGAGAGGGGGGATTTGCTCCTTGGGTAACAGCCTATCCTCCATATTATTTTACCCAGGCTTCGTGCTCTGGAGAGGACACTCCAGCTTCACATACAGTGTCAAAGTCCTCCATACAGAGCACGTTACCATAGTGTCTCGAGACTGAAGGATGCCTATGATGATGAATTCTGCTCTACTATGACTCCAGACCAACACTCCCTGTAACCTGCATGCCTTTGTAGTACTTGTCAGGCATGTGCACCCACAGCCAGTGCTTCCACCCCTTTGGTTCCAGTCGCAGCCGGAGCCACGCTGGGGGTGGGGTGATCCCCGCTAAGCAGGGCCGAAACTTAGAGAGAACGCTGCTCCACATCTGTTGTTTTCTGCAACCAGCCCAAGGACGTTCATGCCACCTAAAAGCAGGTTGGCATCTGAGCTGAGCCAATGAGTCCTATTCATGTAACTTACAAATAATCCCAGCTGAATTCCACAGGATCCAGTTCCCCAAAGGAATAAATATGGCTACACTCCTTGTCTCTAGGGACCCTGAGTTCTCTGAAGGAGGACAAACTCTTTGTTGCTTCCACTGTGTCATGTTTTGAGACTGAATGGCACTCTAAAGCAGAGCCCCAGGGATGCACAATCCAGTATTTTGAGGGGCTACCCCAGGTACGGCAGTGCAGCTGGCTGGCTCAAACTACCAGGATCAGCACTCTGCAAAAGGGACCAATGAACATTCTGAAATAGGGATGGGGAAGGTGTTGTTGTCTGAATGTAGCTAGACTGCAGATTCCATCATCGCTGGTTGTGAGCTGCAATCCAGCAACATTATTTGGTAGGCCATTCCCACATTTTCCTTCTACAACAGAATGACTACTTCTTCAAGATGCCTCTTACTATGCTTGTTTCTCCACTACCACCATTGCCCCATAAGTTCAAGTGCTGTGGCCACCCTCCTAGTCCCATTTCCAAAAGAGAAACAGCATCAGGTAGATTGATTGAGAATGTGATTTTACTCTCCAGTACTTAAAAGATGAAAAAGGTACACATTTTAAAGCCCTCCGTAGTTTTCTGATAGTGCCTTGTTTATTACTCTTATTCTTTAAGATCAACAGAGGTAACAAAAGCACATGATTTTGTACTGTACGTGTCATGTTTTGATTGCACTGATGCTGCATTAATGGAATGTACCATGTGACCAGCATTGCTCTGGTCAATCTTGATTTAGGCGGTATGAAGACTACTGCAATCAAAAGTTAGTTTGGATCCGTTGCTGGTATGGAGTGGTTTCAAAGAAGGTGGATCACGTGGCAAGATAAAGAGTTCAAGTTACCTCATCCAGTTTCTCAGTTTGTGATTTCAGTCGTAAGACTGTGGTTTTGAGTTCACAGTTTTCCTCTTCAAGCTGATGAACCCTGAAGGTGAAGACAAATCAATAAGTGAATATTTAAAAAGTTGCCCATAATATATTCAGTCCTTTAAAAACCTTGCAATTTGTGGGATATTCCTTCTGTGTCCATGATTCAAAATACCAAGAAGAAGAACGGATGCCAAGTTTTATATGCCAAAAGCCAGCCTGAATGTTGACAACACCAATGCCAGCAAGATGGTTTATATGTAGGATCCCCTCTTGTGCTCACTGTCATTCACAAAGAGACTCCAAGAAAAAATCCCAGAACCTGACTTCTTTTTTCATCAGTTATCTACTTCTCATCCAAACACAAAACAAGTGTCAGAGCTGTTTTTTTAAAGTTCTCTATATATTTAGGTTATTCCCTGTAACTTTTGTATTGCAGATTTCATGTCCATATTTGTCCACCCACCCTTTCCCCCAATTTTCTGAATTGCCATTTGTTGCTCAGTGCCAAGATGCAATATTTCACCATTTTATACATCAGCACCTTGTGTTTTGAACACTAATAGCATTTCATATTAAGAAAATGAGACCACTAGAAGCAACAAAGATCACATTAAGCTGGTACTAATGGTCAGTTAAGAGGAGAGTTCTTCATGAAGACGGGAAGAAGAAAGTGAGACCTTCCTTCTCTGAATCTATGAATCATGAAGATTCATTCTCTCTCTCTCTCTGGATGCGAAATAGTCAAAATCACAACCCTCTGCATCCATTTAGAAATACTGATGGTGCTAGCAAACGGAGAGATGAAGCCCGTGGGCAAATGCACATGTAAACTGGCTCTTCCACTGTAAGGGCACAGCAACAAAAAGTGCTTTTGTACCTGTAGTCAACACCATTTATAAGGACAACAATGGCACAGTGATCTACACTACCTTGTGTTCAGTAGTTCAATTTCTGTTGTTTTCTCTTTTTCATACTTGCTGTATGCCTCTCTGTGCCTCTTTATCTCTTCTTCCAGATTCTGCTGAGCTGAGGTCTCTTGGTCTTTCAAGAGTTCTTCCAGTTCATGAACCCTAGCAAAATTGTTTATTTAGCAGGTACAGACAGAAATAGCATGTTTAATTAGTGTATCAGCCATCAGACATCAGCAACACCCCAAATAGTTTTATACCCTGATTATAGGGCTGTTTCCAGCACGCTCTCAGAGATGCCACCTCTATTTGCTGACCACACAAGAAACTCCCTTTACTGCAGTTTCTAAAGATAAGAAGCCACTGCTGACCTTGCTAAAACCAGCTAACCTGGAGTGAGAGGCTGGAAAAATAGGAAATCTTCCTATTGTGAAATCCTCCCGTTTTTCCCCTCATTCATCCATCCCCAAGGGGCTGACAACCTCCATTCACATTCCACTTGTATCCTCCCAGGATAAAGCAATGTTCTTTTGCTCAATCTGTGCTAGAATATTTCTTCGGGTAAATAACAGATTGTGGAAGTGTTACTTTTTCAGAAGGCCACTCCCAGCCTTCTCTGGCCAGTGTGGCTAGTCTTGGAAATTCTGGTCACTGCCCTGCCAAAAGAGTGACTCATCCAAATTCTGGGAAATCAAAGGTGATGTGGGGGTTAATGCCGGAATTTCTATGCTCTGCCCTCGATCTTTCTGTACCTTGTCATCCAACTTCAAGGGGCTTTAGGGTTCAAAGTGCTAGAATGGGACGTGGAAGTTTCAGGTTCCAGCCTTGGGATGAGCTGTGAAGCTCACGGGCTGATCTCCAGCCAACCACACAGGTTCCGCCTGGCCTACGTCGCAGGCTGTGGTTGTGAGGAAAAAAAAGGGGTGGGAGGCAGCCATGTTTGTGCTGTTGAGCTGTTGGAGGGAAAGGTGGGGTAGAAATGTAACCAATAAATGGAATAAAAGAGTTACAACTACAGTGGTGCCTCGCACAGCGAGGTTAATCCGTTCCGGATTAACCCTCGCTGTGTGAAACATCGCACTACGGAAAGTAAAAAGCCATTGGAACGCATTAAACATGGTTTAATGCGTTCCAATTTGGCCGAATACTCACCGTTGTGTGATGTTCTGGTATAGCCGGCAGCCATTTTCGCGCCCTCCCCTCGCTGAACGAGGGTGCGAAAACGCTGCGATCAGCTGTCCGGCGGGTCCAAAATGCGGGTTGCGCGCAGCCATTTCGGGGCTTCCGCAGCGTTTTCGCGCGCTCCCCTTGCTTACCAAGGGCGCGAAAACGCTGCACCCCGGCCCCTTTCGGCTGTTCCGGCGGCCATTTTGAAGCCGCGGAACAGCTGATCGGCGGGTCGCAAAGCGAAGGTCGGTAAGCGAACCGCTTACCGACCTTCGCTCTGTGAATTTTCCCCTATGTAGGTGCCGTTTTGCGATCGCATTTGCGATCGCAAAAACGGCATCGTTGCGTGGATTCGTCGCTCTACGGAGCGACCGTTGTGCGAGGCACCACTGTAGTCAGGTGGGGAGATTGCACACTGTCCCTCCTGGCTCAGGCAGGATCAGTCCAGACATGACCTGTCTAGGACATGGGAAGTTAATCAGGCTGAGCCCCAAAACAGACACTGTTTCAAGCATCCATTTTCTTGACTCCTCAACCTTGCTTGCTTTTCCCTCTTTTCCTCTTGTTCCCAGCCTTTGGATTTAGTGTCTGGGAAAGGAGAGAGTGGCAAAGGAAGAGAAAGCATTGGGCCTTGGGAGACATTTTTTCACCTCATGCAAAGTTCTGGGCTCTGCTCAGCTATGCGGGGCCTATTTCTCTCTCCATCTGGGCGGGCTTGAGAGCTGCCTTCTTAAACTGTGATCATGGCCTTCAAGGCTAGACACCTTGGTCTCCTAATTAGCAGGCCAGAGCAGTGGCTCATTTGTGCAGGCCAAACCTCCTGAGCCTCCTGCTTTCCTGTCAGTTTTAAGAAACATTCCCCTCACCCAGTTCACCCTTCAAAATCACCGCTTCAGCCAATTTTCAACATATCTCTGCAAGGGGGGGAAAGGGGGAGGCTCCCAGTCAGACCACCAGCAGGTTCAACCTAACTCGATCACTTCATTACAAGCTGAGTCTTGGGCTCTCCCAAGCTTCTCGTTAAGGTTCTGTTTTTGGAGGTGGCCGTGAGGCTGTGGCTGGCAGCGTGCTTGATTACCTGTGAACGAGCTGCGTGTTCTCCTGTTTCAATTTGCTCTTCAGGTCACCATTTGTCAAGCTATCATTTTCCAGCTCTGTCACTTTTTTCTCTAAATAAGTCACCTAACCAAAAAAAAAAAAGGAAAAAGGAGGTGAGGTTTTGCCTTTGCTGGGAAGGTGGCAAAGACAGGAAATGGGCCAGACTTGTTTACCAGCACAAAACACCCTTCCACAACTGGGACCCGACTACCATGCCCCTCGTCCCTGGCTGACTTTCGCCAAAGCTTTTCGTCTTGGCTGGGAAGAGAAGGACACTGTGGTCTGCCGCTGCGTCAGGAAGGAGTTGGGGAGTGGTGGCGTCAACCCGCAGACATCTTGAGAGAACCAGTAGACTTCTCAAAGCCTTCATGGCTGCGACAAAAGGCCGCCTCACCTTTTCAGTGATATCGTTGTCGCACGAGTCGATGCTGTCTCGGAACAAGTCTTCTGTGCTGCCGTTGCTGCTGCTGAAGTTGCTGTTGTGGAAAAGCTGCCTGATAGGAAGGGAAGAGGAAAGCTGTTTGGCTCCTGTGAAAGGCAAGTGGGCTTGGTGTGTCATTCCAGTGGAGACGTTTTCAACACTGAAAAGCCACAAACAGGACCTGGATCCCTCGTGCCGAGGATTCAGTGTTAAACTCTCCAGGAGACTGGTCTACCTGGCTACCCTATTAAAAAGCAGCAATTTTACACGCATCCTAATATCAAAGTGAAGAGCACATGTTAAAAGAAAACCTCAACAAGAGATTTTACTGTGAATCTGTTCAGCCCTTGCTTAATCTAAGGAAGCAAAATTAAAACAAAACAAAACAAAACAAAACACACACACACACAAAACAGGGCAACCGTTGTGATGCAATTCCTGCTAAGCCACAAGACCTATTCTCATCATTCTAAAAAGGGAGACACACGGTCCCTGAGTGAGGCCACACTAAAGAGCTCTGTTCGAATGCTCTGTGCACCCATTACTCCCTCACTGGCATCTGGAAGTATACCACCATGATTGGAGGTGTGTGTGTGTGGGGCCTTTGGGCATGCCGCTACAATTCCAAGTGACTCAGGATTCTGACTGCACAAGGGTTCCATGTTGCACAAAGGCTCCATCTATACTGCTAGACACACAAAGGCCTCTTCTGTGTACATGTACGTGTTCATGCAGATGCCGGGGGTGGGGGGGAGAGAGACTAATCAGTGCATGGGTCATGGGTGGAGTCATTTGGTGTACATCTTCACTCCCCACTTGCATGCTACTTTTCACCACTTCTAGCAATGACTGAATAGGACTGAAGTGTGTTGTGTATGTGTAGCATACAAGAGGAATACTGTGGTAGAGATAGAAAGGTGTGTGCAGGGAGGAGGAGGAGTGTGGCACTTTATCTGTATGTATGTTGCCTGGTTGACAAAATAAAAGCATGTAAAAATGCTATTTTCTGCCCCTGGAATCTTTCAGGAGTGGTACCGAGAGTCCTTTATACCCCCTTTATACCTTCCATCAACACTTACTTCTGACTTTTAATACCTTTAGCTCAAAGTTGATGCAGGCCCTGGTTGGCCCTAGAAGTAGAGACATTTGAAGTTGCCCATCCCAGCCTAGAACAAGAATCCTCTGGCCCCTGGGGCTTAATCTGGCCCAGAGTTTACACCGCTAGCCCATGAAGCAGAATAGCCCAACCCAAAGCCCCATTCCTTCTGTGGAGAGCTTTCCCCTGCAAATCACTGGCCTTCCCACTGACATCTCCCATCACTTGTGACAACGAGACCCTAAAACAGAGGATCACTCAGAGTATGTGCAGTCATAGGCTTAACCCCACTTGTGAGTCCTGGCAACAGCACACACATGGGATCAATGGGATGGATACGTTTGTTGATGTACCATCTACCAACTCATTCAATGGGTCTCCTCTATTTGGGAACACAAACTGGATTCAGCTCATACAGCTCTGAGGCCAAAGGTCTCCAGGTTATTTTCTTGAAGGTGAAATGACAAGCAGACACTCAACAAACAGAAGGTTTTGACAATAGCCATACCAAGTGACAAGAAAGATGTCAAAATGTCTGCCTTTGGGGTCTGCTGCGGCAGGGATGACTGGTGAAGACGTAGTTCCCCACCTCTGAATTAAGGTAGACTGAATTGTTGAACATACAACATAAATGCTATTCAACACTCATGAAGCTCATTCTTAAGCACACAAGTGCCCCAGCACATTTCCATTCACGAAAACCCACTGTGAGCAACAAAGTTAGGAGAACAGAAATGTCTCTTACCTTCCAAAAGCTGTGCTAGATATTTTCCTGCTTGGGCTAGAAGAAACAAAAAGGGCAGACATAACGTTAAATTTAATCTGCCATTTTTTTAACCTTATGAATGCAATATACAATATACAATAGCCACCCAGAGTGGTCGTATAGACCAGATGGGTGGGATATAAATTAAATAAATAAATAAGTAAGTAAATAAGTAAGTAAGTAAGTAAGTAAGTAAGTAAGTTTCAGACGGCATGAAAAGCATAGATCTTGACTATTGCTACTGAGAAATAAGTCCTACTGATTTTATTGGGATGCCCTTTCGAGAAGGCCAGATCAAAATGTTTTGGCGAGGATGTCTGAGAATACGTGTGTGTTTGTGTGCAAGAGAAGAGTGTGAGATTAATCTCACCCAACAGTAGTGGTCTTAGGGTGGGCTGTAAAATGGGAGACAGGTGTGGTTGCACATTTATAGCTAGAGACATGGAATGTGCACAAGAGAATGTCTTCTCCTAGAACACAATATAAGGACTTTCAAGACTCCCCCCTCCCAGCCACAGAATCCAAGAGTAACTGAGTTGGAAGGGGCCTATAAGGCCATCGAGTCAAACCCCCTGGCTCAATGCAGGAATCCCAGTCATAGTAGATCTGACAGATGGCTGTCCAATTTTCTTTTGAATGCCTCCAGTGCTGGAGCGCTTACTATCTTCCGAGGCAATTGGTTCCATTGTCATACTGTAACAGTTAAGAGATTTTACCTGATATTCAGACAAATTCTGAATTCCTGTAACTTGAGCCATGGTATCTGGTGGAATCCATTTAACCAGAGAAGCTGGGATAAAACCCAGGACTCCCATGGTGCAGAAGAATATTATCTACTCAACAGCTGTGGTCCCCACATTTGGACACAGGAAATGCTTCCAACCATTTAACGGAGGGTACTGCAACCTGTTGCTCTCCAGATGTTTTGGACTACAGTTCCCATAAATGCTGACCATTGTCTGCATTGACTGCAGCTTATTATGGGGCTTGTAATGTGACACATCTGGAGGATACCTGCTTGAAATGCTACTAATTTTGGCCACTGGTTCCCAACGCTGTGTTCCCAGATGTTCTTGGACTACAACATCCAGAAATCCTGCCCAGCATAGCTAATGATGAAGGCTTTTGGGAATTTTAGTCCAAGAACGTCTGGGGACCCAGGGTTGGGAATTAATTATTTAGAAGACTGCTACAAGGATGATCAGATAATAGTCAGTCCTGCTCCTGACCACAGAAATAAGAAATAACTGGGTGAAAGAAGGCCTTAAGCCAGAGAAGGGAAAGAATGGCTCATTCTGTACGGCTACACTGCATTTAAGCACTTCTGGCCTGCTTCCAGCTTTATGACAGCAACATGGAGCTAGAAGCATCTATGCCAACGCTTTTGGCAGTGGACAGTGCCAGACAATATGTGTTGCATAAAAAACCCAAAATCTCACACAAACATGGCAACTAAACAGCTTAGAGTTAAATGTATTTATAGGTCTTAAGGTTACAAGTGGATTTAATGGGATCAACCAGTAAATTAAAGCAGATTAATCAAAAGTTAAACCAAACTGTTAACTGACTGAGTGGCCAATTACTAAGGGCACACTGGTTTATTTTTTTGGTGCTGTTTTGACTTGAATGTTTCTTTTTGGAACAGAGAATGAAAATGGTGTCCGCCCAGATGGTTCTTCTTCCTCACAGGGACAGCCTTTGTATATGCAATCAATCTATCTTTTAGTGCTTCCTTCAGTATCTCAAAACGGCCCTAATGTTGAGATTTCACCAATACCCACATTTCACCAATTAAAGTCACATCAGCAAACTTATAGTGTAAGCCTACACCCATCTAGTCAGACCTAAGTTCAATAAGATTTACTTCCAGGTAAATGGACAGCAAGGATGGCAACAACATGGACTGCCAAAGCCAAGGACCTCTCACTGGGGGAAATATTGAGCTCTCATACAGAATCACGTCCATTGAAGTCTCTGGGGCAGAATTCTCCATGTGAAGGTTATTTGGAGGAACCTAAAACTGGAATTAACCAGTGGCGCTGGTGTGGTCCTTGGAGGTCCAAGGGTGTGGAAAGGGGAGAATAGGCAAAACGCCTGGATCTTCTGCCCCCACCCCCCCTGGCACATAGAGGACAGCAACCTTAAAATATTTATTCAGACGGCAGCAATAATTAAATCATACCCTGCCTCAAAATTACTAGAGATAATCAAACCCTAACCCTTAAAAAAAAATCCAGGGATGTGCAAAACCTCTCTTTCCTGACTCTGCACTTCTGCACTCCCACTGTGCTCACTCACCTGTTTGCTTTCAGGTTTTTCAGCCTGGCTTCCAAGTCATTAAGGAGGTTGATTTTCTTGCAGCACTGCGTGCAGTAGACGTCCAAGAGCTCACTATTATACATATGCCGCATTTTTCTTGGGGTCTGGCCGGCACTTTTGGTGGGAAAGCAAAGGGATGTGAGTGGCTCTCAGTGCACCAAGTTTTTTTTAAAATCAGATGTATTATTTTCAAGCAGAGGTATCAATGAACCCACCTAATCATCACTGCATTTCCAGCACAAGGCACCCAGCAGGAGGCTATTGTTTCCTAAACACTACCTCTCAATAAAAGCACGATCATTTTCAAGCATTTCCCTGGATGTCCTCAGATCTGTGAGAGTTTGTACCACAGAGCTCAGTGTCTGAGGTATACACATTTCAGTTTGATTACTGTTCTAATATAGGAAAATGGCAAAAGCAGAACCACTGACATACCCACTATGCAGATCAGCTAAGTATTCCAAGGTGCCTGCCTAGGAGCCTTTAGCTCAGGTATGCGCAGACTGTGGCCCTCCAGATGTTGCTGGAATGCAAATCCCATTATCCCATACAATTGGCTATATTGGCTAGGGCTAATGAGAAACAGAAAACATCTGGAGACTACAAATTACCTATCTCAACATTAGCAACGGCCCATTAAGTTACCCATTTTTCATTAACTGATCTTTAATGCATAAACAACATACACACACACTTAGTTCATTCATAAGAAGGGTGGTGTTCTTCTTAGTCAGAATTCACTGAATTTACAGCATCAGCCATCCTTTGGAATCAGGCTATATCCATCTCTCCACTGTCCACTCTAGGTATGTAAAGATGGAACTAGGAAGAAGAATTTGGATAGTAGCTATCCTACAGGCTAAATTATGCGGAAAGGGGACAACCTGGATGAACAGTGTGTAGTGTGTAGTGCAGCCAAGGCTCATGGGGTCAAAGCGCTGGGGCTTTTTGTGTAGCAAGGACTAAGACATTATCCGCCAGCCCCCCTCAGGATCCTCTGTACCCTTTGAGGTTAGCCACAATCATCAAAATCACCAGGAGTGAAATGGGTTTCTCTAGGAACAGTACATTGATACTAGTTACTCCCTGCCATAATGTGAAGTATCTGAAGGTGGTCTGGTCTTAAATGAGCAATTGGAAGTCATCAGCTTTATAAATGGTTTTCTCTTCATTTGCTGATAAGGACCAATTCAGCTTGTCTCCAATTTTTTTTGCATCTTTTTATGGGGATTGAACTGGCTCTGAAGACTGCCAGGACAAGCACCTGCACTTCCAACTTTAATATTACACCACTAAAAAGAGGGAAGGACTGGCATTTCTGAGATCAGCGTTCAGATAGGTGCATCTGAGTAAATCCTGGCTTAAATGTCTCTGGTTCTAATGCAATGCCACACCCATCCTTTTTTTTTATCCAGAGAGATGTTATCACATGAACAACATCCCAGTCTACAGCCCGCTCAGGTCAGCAAGCATGTAGTGTGGATTAAATGCCTCTATAGATTCCCTGCCCCTAAGAATAAGGGACTGATTATTCAAGATGAAATTATTCTTTGATATGCAAATTTTCTAAATACTTTTCAATACTGTCTCCAGAGACAACATTAAAAAACAGCCCAGACTACAGATATGCTCTGGATCCCAGTTTGTCACTTGGGGAGGGTGGCGGGGGGGGGGGAAGCATTTGCAAACTTGGGTAAGACAACACCACATTTTCATCTTGTCACATTACAGCCATCTCCTCCAACCTGGCACCTTTCAAATGGTTCTTGTCCAAAAGTCCCATCAGATATGCTGGCTGGGTCAACAGGGGTAATCATCCAAGCCACTATGCAAGCTTCAGCTTCGCGAGGTTACTAGGCACAGGACTATCTTTTTTTGTGGCAGAGGAGAATAGAGTACAGCCCCTAGAAGTCTGCAGGAATCCCCCCCCAAGCCAGAATTCTGGGGGCTTTACCCAAAAATGAAAGTCCTCTCATGCATTTTTAAAGCTGCGGAATAAAAATTCCATCTTGGATCTGATGAGCCTCCATGAGCACAGAGAAAGTGACGAGGAGAGCCTTGTCTCTCTGAGAGCTGCAGAGAGACAAGTGGTCTGATAGATTCTTAAGAGGAAACTATCAGACAAGTGGTGTGATAGTTTCTTAAGAGGCACTCGGTACAGAAGATAATAAATAGGGAGGGAGACGATGAGACCCCCTAATGGCTTGCAGCTCCCACATAGCATAGCCCTGAGACAAAGCCTTTCTCAGCTGTAAGCGATTAAAGATACGCGAGATGACTTTGACTTTCAAAGCATCCAGATGTCTAGGGGCTTTCGACAAGAGGGATGCAAAGAGTAGACTCTGTGTTCATAAAAAAAATAAATCAATTTCAAGAGTTATTGCAATCAACATGGTAGGCAGTTCTCTCCATTCCTTGGAAAAGGGAGGAAGGGAATGATATTAGAGTAACCAAAAGGATATTAAAATAGCCAACCTGGAAGAAACAGAGGAGCCCAGGTCAGAGTAGGCATTTGTTCTGCTTTCATCATCAGGGCAAGGGCTGCTGGGAGTGAAGTCCACATCGTCTCCTTCTCCGTAGTCTTCAAACTGTTCTTCATTGCTGATCAAGGAGGCAGTGGAATAGGTAGAAAGGTCGGACGCCGCAGATGGGTTGAGGGGACTTGACCTGAGTGGAGGGTGAAAGGGGGACATCAGGGCACAAAACGAAGGGGGGCACATCCAACAGGGAAGCGTCCACTTTCACAACCAGAAGGCGCTTTCAAAATTTAGGGTCACAGCCACTGCGTGGTTTGAGAAGATGAGTACAGGTGGGGCAGAAAATGTTGAAATAGAAAATGTACAGTTAATGGGAATGTTTGATTTTTGGCTATAACAAACATGAACCACTCCCCAGATTTCAGACCACCACACAATTATTCTTCAAGAACCCCTACATTTCTGACCATTACATTGGCTTTAGAGTACCAAGTGTCTATTGCTACAAACAACTCAGGGTACTCGGGGAAGGGAAGGGTGTCAAAAGATTCTCAGCCCTGTGCCATTTGTTACACTCATTATGTATGCCCAAACATACAAGCAAATGCACACTTCATAAGAAAATAGTCTGAACCGCATGCTCTTAAAATATACCACCATTTCCTGGGTTCAGATATAATGGTGGGCCTTTGGGTTTTGTCGAATTCTTTCTCTTCCTTGCTGCTGACATCTTCCTCCTCCAGTCTCAAACAGAATCCACATTTTTTCTTCGGTACCTTTAATGGGAGTGCCCACATCACATCACCAATTGAGTGGCAGGGATGGAAGAGTGTGTAGTTTTCCAGATATTACTGGACTGTATCTCTCATTAATCCTGACTAAGGCTGATGAAAACAATGGCCCAACAACATCTGGATAACCCCATCCAGCCTAGTCAGAAGGCTGCATTCCACCCGCTCCTTTTTCTTAAAGCTTCTATCTGCCTATAGTCTATGTTAGTGCAACATCCCATATTCTATTTCTTGCTGCTATGTTGTCCTTGCAGTTATTGTCCTCATTTGTCTTCTGCTCAGCTTTGTTTCTGTCTTGTTTCACCAGTCCTGTACTTGCCTCTGCTGTTCTTTGGAAGAAGAAAAATCCACCCCCAGGGTTTTGTTGAACAACAGGAGGGGGAGGATACAAGAGGGAAAGGGGATTGGTCTTCTCATAATTTTGTGTGAGATTCCAGTGGAACAGGTTTGGGCAACTGATGGCCTTCTAGATACTCCTGGACTCCAGCCTCCATCAGCTTTCATCACTGGTTAGGCTGGCTCAGGCCGACAGGAGTTGCCGCTCCAAAAGCACCCGGAAGGTCACAGGTTGCCCAACCTAGCAGCAGCAGCAGCACTAGAACAGCCTGCTATCAACTTTCCCCTTCAGTGCAGACTGTGAGGCATGACCCTCCCATTCTGTGTTCCCAAGACTAGGTCAGAGCGTTTGAAAAGATTAAAAGCAACCTCTGAGACAGACACTTGGTCTAAGCTTGTTACTCACTTATCTCCCGGTAGGAAGAGGCCACCCAACACGCTGTCCTTCTCCTCGCTCCGGCACACATCTGATGCTTCTGAACTATGAGCGCTTTCAATGGCACTGTCCATATCTGACTCATGGTGGACTTCCGGCTGGGCCAGGGTCATGTTGTCTTCATCAGGAAAGAGATCCGATTCACCGAATCCACTTTCACTGTCCAGGTAGCCAATGTCTTGGATTTCGGTTCCCTAAGAGAGAAAAGTGGGACAGGGGAGATCAGCAAGCATTTGGAATTGTAGACATCTTTGGTAGTGTGATGGGGGATCATAAGCATCAAACTAAGATATCTTACAGTGGTTGAAAAAGTTATTTTTCGAGAGTCACACTCCCAGAATCTCCCAGTTGGCATGGCCATGCTGACTACAGATTATGGGAGCTATAATCCAAACATTAACCCTTCCAAGCTTCAGTTCTGACACACAGAAACCATGCTTTCAAAGTGCCAGCTCCTAATTCAGCTCATGGCAACTGAAATAGGGGTGGATTTCAAGACAGCACTCTAAAACTTACCAAATAAAATCTGTGTCTGTTTTAGTGAGAAGTTTCATTCCACGCTTGTTCTGAATATCCAGTGTAAACCAGTCGCATCCATAAAAACAACCTCCCCCTACAAACTAGACTGGCTTGTTGCCCTGGGGATTACTCCTTCCCAATTCCCACTTCTAATATTTTACTTCTCTTTGGCTAAACATATGGGAGTTGGCTGGTTTTCTCAAGCCATCTGATACCGTTTGGTATGCAGACACACTGGCTTTGTATTTGCTCTTGTTCTCCGTCTCAAAGTGCATCAGGGCGCAAATATGCAGCCTGGACTGTATGAAGTAGATGGTATCTGGTTGAGGTATGGAAGAGACTGCTGTAAGATAACCATTTCATAGACATTTCTGGGGGAGGTTTTACAGGTTTTTTTATTCCAGGTTTGTATGAGGAACTTTTGTCTCCCAAATGTGAATTGCTCTACTTCACAAAAGCTCAACAGGACAAGTCTGGAGATGGTCTGGAGTGCCATCCAGTTCACGTCACTAAAGAACTCAGTGTAGGCAAGGTTGCAGCAGTGCCCCTGGGGAACCATCTGCCCTCGACCAAAGGGCCAGCTTCATTCACAAGCCTTGCAGATGTCTGTAATCTGAAATGTCTTTAATTAAAGGATCAACTTAAATGAAACAAAGCATGTGTGAAAATTAAGATAAATATTTTGAGTAAATTCTCACACACCCGTTCTCAAATGACAAATTGAAGCCATGGGTTGCGGGCAAGGCTTTGGGTCCGAGTCCCGGGTCCGACTAAATCAGTGTCTAAATAGCCTGAGTCTCAATTAAAATCAAGCTTTTTTCCAGAAAAAAGGAGGGAATGGGTGGGTTCAGTATCAAAAGTCGAATCTGAGTCATTGGGGGGGAAAAACAAGTCAAGTCTGAGTCGAGGCACCAGTGCAACTTAAGTCTGACTCAAATCCCCATCCCTGGTTGTGCGAGGCTTGTGAATTGATCTCAATGTTGACAGCATTAAGAATTTCTGGCAATATAGCACAAGCTACCAACAAATATACCCGCATTCTTAATTTGGAGTGGATGGTGGTGCTGCGGGTTAAACCGCAGAAGCCTCTGTGCTGCAGGGTCAGAAGACCAGCAGTCTTAAGATCGAATTCATGCAATGGAGTGAGCTCCCGTCGCTTGTCCCAACTCCTGCCATCCTAGCTGTTTGAAAACATGTAAAAATGAGAGTAGATCAATAGGGACCATCTCGGTGGGAAGGTAAACAGCGTTCCGTGTCTAAGTCACACTGGCCATGTGACCACGGAAAATGTCCATAGACAAATGCTGGCTCTATGGCATGGAAACGGGGATGAGCACCATGCCCTAGAGTCGGACACGACTGGACTAAATGTCAAGGGGAACCTTTACCACACAATTTTCATGCTCATTTTGAATAACTTTGATCATGACTTTGCCTGGGAAGCCACAGCAAATGCAAAACTGAATGCAGGGGATGTTATAGTTATGACCAAGCCGAGTATATTGTCCAGAAGTTGAACAGAAGCTGCTAAATCAAAAGAAACCAAGTTCATTGAACAACTTTTATTTTATTACAGCCAAACTACTAGAGTACTGTACTCTACCGCCAGGCAAAAGTTTGCAGCTTCAAAAGTCAGGGTATGAAAGAAAGAAAAGAAGGCTTTGACTTTAGCTCCTGCATGAACAAAGGACAAAGTCCACTTTTTACCCAGTGATTTTCCTTTGCAAGTTCAATCTCATATGATGAATGACTGGGCCTTCTGATCTCAAAACATCCTGCAACAGCAGCTACTAGAAACACAAGTTCTTATCTACCCATTTTTCCCTGGCAGATTGTCAGCAAAACCAATAGTGGGAGTTTGGCATCAGAAATGCCAAAGTAAGCAAAGCAGCATGGGGGCGGAAACTTTGCTTTTTAAAAATCATTGAGACATTTGGCTCTTAAAACTTATTTGAAGCTTTCTGTATCAGAAGGAGGCCCATGCAACTACAGTAATGGCAATTCTACTAAAGACTTCATAGGATAAATTCTGTCATTATGGAACTCTTGAGTTCATGCAGATTTTGGGTCATTCATCTAAGAGTGTTGTTGGATGGCAATTACCATCCTTCCTCATCCTTGGCAATGGCAGTGAGGGCATTTGAGATTATTGTCTACTAAGACTTGGAGAGCCACAAATTGCCCAGCCCTGGTCTAAGACTCTGATTACAAATTAGGGAAACCTTTGCTGCTATTATGGCATGATACAACCATGTGACCCTGTTAAAACCTTACTGAAAAGCTTTGTGATATGTTGCTGGACCAGAGTGGAGCTCGATCCCACATTTCAGCTTCTCTAAAGCCTGATGGCCAAAGTTAAAGGTGTTGTAACACCCTGTACCCTGGCCCTTCTGCAGATTAGACCATGCTAACATTAAGTCGGATGCCAGTGTGACTGAGTTTGAGTTTAGGCCCAATAACCTCATGGTCTCTTCTTCCCCCCTTCCCCCACCCCTGCATTTCACAAATGAATCTGGAGGTGGACTTATAAAATCTTTATTCAACAACAATAGGTGTCTTATCAACAACAATGGCAGTAGGACCAACAGGGGCTTCTAACTTCAGTGGACACAACCATCTGTCCATCTCGGTTCCCTCTTCTAATACCAAGGAGTTTGGCTAGAGTTAGACATGAACCTCAGTTTGGAGGTTTGTGGTGGTTCATATGCATGGCACCTGGCCAATGCTCCACTCACCAGCTGGTGCTCCTTTCCTCCTCCTCTTTGCCTGTTCAGCCCATCCTCAACAGAAGCATGGGCTTGCCTGTCCCACCTCCTTATCTGAGTGGGCTATTAGCCAAGGAGGCACGGGAGAGAAGCCTACACTCCTACCAGGGGACTGGGTGAACAGCTGAAGAAGAGGAGAAGAGGACTGCATGCTGGCTGGTGAGTGGTGGATCCAGCAGGTGGCGGGAACACACAGCATCTGTAGTGCCACGCACATGAACTGGCACAAATCCCCACACTAAGAACCATTCCCATTCTCATGTCGTTGTTGTTTAGTCATGTCCGACTCTTTGTGACCCCATGGACACACCAGAGCACCCCAGGCCCTCCTATCTTCCACTGCCTCCTGGAGTTGGGTGAAGGTCATGGTGGTTGCTTCGATGACACTGTCCAACCATCTCTACCCATTCTCTAGTTCCCACCAAATCTCTCCTGACCGGTGGGCTTGCATAGGGCGGTACTGTGGCTAGCACACAGAGCTAGGTCCACAGCAGGGATGGCAGGCCCATTCTCCCTCAACCATGACTGATTTCTTTGGTAGAGGCACATCATTCTTCAAAGGACCTCCTTCCTTGGGGTTCACCGTAACAATCCATTCTATGCCCTCTGGTTCTGATAGATGGATGTAACACCCCCCCTCCTTTTTACGCTGCTTGCAGCACTCCCATTCCCTTTTCTGGATTGGTTTGTTCCTCCTATCTGTCTCCTCAATGGAGAGTTTCATACAGGCTATTTACTTGGTCCAGGGGGTCTTCTAGGTTAATCCAAGCCCACCCCATGGGGAGATCACCCCTTTACTCCCTGTCCTCTCTCGCTCCTCCACCTTCTCTACCTCCTCTCCCTAGTCTAACCCCTCTCTTATCTCTTCCTCCATGACGATGTTCTGTTCCTCCTCTTCCTGTCATCAGAAAACCCTCTATGATTGATTCTCCCTTTTTCCCTCTTGGGTTTCCCACCTAAATGGTCTTCGCCTATCAAGGGCTCCATCCCTTTTCTGCCTTTGTTACCCGTTTGAACTCTCTACATCCCTTCTATTGGGGACAAGAGGCTGTACATGGTCTCAAATCCTTCCTCTGTAGCAGGTTGTTGGGATGGCACACTCTTAGGGCCAGCAGGCTCTGGCTCCACTTCCTCACAGCCAGTTAATAAAAAATCAAAAACGGAGCAAAACACAATGATAAATATATGCACATATATTTCCAGTGTTGCCACACAAAGTGACTTAATTCTGCTGTGTTTTAGCATACCCATGAGAATATAGCTTGAAGTTTGTCCATGAAAACTCACATTAAAATATAACAGTCTTAAAGACACATTTTTTGTCTTTTGTCTTTGTTCCTTTATCTTTGTTTTATTTTTACCTCTAATCTGGAACAATCGCTCTTGAGCTGATGCCCTTCAAATATGATGGAATACAACTCCCACAACCATTATCATGACGATGACTGAGATGGTGCAGGATGATGAACACTACATTGACCCACTCCCAAAAAAGTGCCACATTGTGGATTTCCTCCAAAGCAAATCCAGAGGCAGAGGAACATAGGAAACTTCCAGAATGATGGCTGTACTTTATAGTGCAAAAGCAGCAATCCAGTCACTTATACTCCCTCAACTGAGTGCTAAGCAGAGAATGACCATTCGAGAGAGCTGCAGTCACCATCATCTTCATCTCCCCAGAATACATCATGACCCCAGCATACTGTTTGGGCAGGATGTTATGTTAGAGGCTATGCCTAGAGCCATGGTGAGTCATAAAGGTGGCGGCAGCAGCTCTAACTACCTAGCTCAGTGTTTCTTTCTCAAAGCCAGTCCTTATAATATCAATGTATTTTTTTTTAAAAAAAACATTTTTAAAGGATCCACATTGGATTTCCAGGGTTCTCACATATGCATAGCCATGCCATATG